TAACACTATTCAGATTTGTTGGTATTAGGTGGTTGGAGGCAATCGGCCACAGGAAGCCTTGCTTGACCTAGATTTCGTGCTACTTGGCACTCATCAGCAAGGCGTATCTGCAACTACATTGAAGGAACAGCTCATGTCCCACCCATCTGAGATTCGAACCCCCGTCACCCAGTGATGCCTGCAGTCAGAGACGTTAGCACCACTCAGCCAACTATTCGGGCTCGTGATTGACCTCCCTTGGAGACTGTAATGGATATTTTGATTGGACATTAGTCTAGTCCTATCTAGCACGAAACCTAGGTCGAACAAGGCTTCCTGTGGCCGATTGCCTTCAACCATCTAATTAATTACCAACAATTCACAGTGCACTGGGATGGAGAGTCACCTAGTGGCCTGTTGGCCACATTGTAAGCTTGACTGACTGATAGAATTCAGAACAAAAAATATTTAGAGCGAACAATTGTGGTTTCAATAAATTTTCCTTCTTCAGGCTCTACAATTATAAGTCCATTAATTAATTTAAGCATACAATAGCCAGCCAGTCAGTCAGTAAAGGCAAACTAGAATCATATGAGAAAGTGTATTGTGGAACAAGTATAAGTAGGATGGATGGGATGGAACAATAGTCAGATAGTTTTATTTAATAGGCATGGTCACTGAGAACATGGGACAAAATGAGATGAAGTAATTTAATTTAATTTAATGATGTGTGTGTGTGTATACAAGATAAATATAGTCAACAGAAAAATACAGGTTTCGAGAGTGAGTGTAATCAGGGTGTGTGAGAGACAATATGGAAATAAACCAACGAATGGGGCGGACTAGACATAAGTTCAAGGTTGAAAATAACGACAGTAAAATAATAACGATGATATGGTGTAAAATTACAAGCACTATTGGTGAATGATTGTCAAATAATAATAATAATGAATATAATGAAGTGGAATGAACAGGATTTTGTAAATACGATAGCAAGTTAGAAAAGCACTACTTAAACCTAAGGTAATAAAATCATAACAATGGTCATGAAATCATAAAAGTCGAAAATGAGCGTTTGTCAATGAAACAGAGGAATAGAAGAATTTATAGTGTTAATGGAGGATTTGTTGGCTTTATTGTAGGCCAAGGTAAACATAGTGGTTGAACATACTTCTTCTGTATGCAAAGAGATGGTCTTCTGGTATTAATTGCCACTGCTTCAGCTACTGATAGAAGACGCAGTCGAGCTCCTCTAGATAAATTACTAGGAACGCGGTAAATAACTGAGAACGCCTGGTCAAGTTTTATCGGGTGTCCCGTATATCTACCAAGTCGACTAAGACTGCACTATTTACACATTTGGTTACTCGTTTACTCAACCATACAGGTACATGTTCACGCGCGCGCGCGCGCATGGATAAAGCCCTCTGAGTACGGCCAATATAACTAGCTCCACATGAGCAGTTGAATTCATAGATACACATTGATGAGGCCATCTTTGGTAATTTATCCTTGACTTGCTGTGTGAGTACTGTGGTTTAGTTGAGAAGTTGAGTTGAGCAGTTTAGCTGCAGGAAATGTTCTATCTACTGCTCTATTAAGTCGACATTTTAGAATGTCAGCTGCAATTTCCCCCCTTTGTAACTTAAGTTATTAAGATACAAAGGTTTCTTGTAGAATTTCAGTCTACATAGAAGATAGGCCTAGACCCAGTACACTAGTTACTGACTATATTGTCCAATCAAAAAGAAAAGGATCCACTCATAGTCGCCTCATTTCCATAATGTCAAGTTGACCTGTGCTTTTTGAGTTCATAAACAACTAAAACGTGGAATTCTAAGTAAAACCAGGAAGTGAATTAATTATTCTGTATTATATTATAGTCTCGCCACCTATTTTTTTTTAACTGCATTATTCTCAAAAATTAACTGATTGTCATTCACGCAGGCTGTCAAAGTGAGCAAGTGAAACGTACTCATTACTAGGTCGATAGGACTCAGAGTTATTTAATTTAATTAGGCCATCAGACATTAATGATTGAATACCTAGCTGACCACTTTGAATATATAACTGTTGACATTCGCTAAGGTTATCATGACATGGGATCGGTGGCTGGCATTTTTACCCACCTTTGATGATCCCGTTTTCGTTATAATTGAATTGATCTGTCACTTTTTTGTTTTTGAAATTAAGCATGCACACAAATCCAACCAGCCACCCCAGCCAGCCACCCACCCCCAATCCCACTAAAATACACATACAGGACACATGAATGCCTGTGTGTATGTCCTTTACTAAAGGAGAAAAAGGGTGACATTGATATAAGAATAAAACTTGTGCACTGTAGTGTGGTAGAGTGTAATTCCATTATGGGTAAATTTTATTTTGATAGGGTCTCACAGTGTTATACAGTAATATTTGCTGATGACCATGTTTCGAGCACAATTTATTACTACAGATCATAATCATATCAAGGTAATCACACAACTTCCTAAATTCATTTATTTGGTTCCATTGTTTTTCACTTGATTTTCACTTGTTTTGATTGGTAGGGTTAGTATTTTCCATATTTCGGGTATGAGTGATGAATCATTCCTATTGCATGTGTTGGGTGTAGACTCGATGAACCAGCCAGGATTCAGTAATCAACCTCTCTCTCCACCTACATAGATTGCTTCTTAGAATTTTAACCCTCTCCAACCATGCTATTGTGTGGTTGTGTGTTATTGCATGTACTGCAATTGCTGAGCTTTTTTCTAAATTACTTATCTTCTCTGGGTCAACCATTCTTCCCTTAGCTAAATTCTTATGTTCTGATAATCTGACTATGCCTGACCTACTAGTTTGACCTATGTAGTTGAGCTAACTCACAGTCATTGCAGGGTATTTTGTAAATTATATTATTTTGTCTAATTGGGTCAACCAACAGGGTCCTTTAACCTACAGAGCTTGTCCTACCTGAGTGAGTTTGTGGGTTTGAATGCCACCCTAATTCCTGCTTTGTTATTAAGAATGCTACGTAGAGTCAAAGATGTCCCCTCTTTATATGGTATAACTGTAGAAGACTTATATTCTCTCTTATTTATGTTATTATTATTACTTTCACAATTATTTTTATTTTTATTTTGGCGTTTTTCAATCTTCTTAATGAATTTTAAAGGATAGTTATTTAACACCAACACCTCTTCTATCTGTTTTATTTCATCATTTAGGTCTTTTTTGTGCTACTTAGTGCCATTGCTCAGTTTGTTAAACACTTAACTAAGCCTGCCTTTACAGATAACGATGGATGGGATGAATTAAAGTCTAAATATCTATTAGAATGCGTTGGCTTTCTATAAACACTAGTGTGTAGTTTGCCTTCTTCTATTCGTTTTATTTTACAATCTAAAATGGCTAATTCTCCTTGGTCATTTTCTGATTCAAATGTGAATTTTATTCCCTCCACTAGTGAGTTTATGTGTGTCAAGAAGCTAGAGAGAGATCTGTTCTGTTTTTAACACTGTGAAAGTGTCATCCACATATCTCCACCACATTTTTGGAGTAGGATTAAACGTTTTAGGAGTCATATTTTCCCAGCTGTCCATAAAGATATCTGCTACGATAGGGGATATTGGTGATGCATCCCATTGCTACACCTTCAGTTTGTCTATATATTTTGCCTTGGAATTTAAAGATAGGAGATGTGAGGCACAACTGAATTCCTAAAATAATTTCTTCAATGGGTAGTTTTGTCTTATAAGTGAGTTCAGGGTCTGCAGTTAATTTTTTTTTAACTGCTTCTTAGGCAGGCATATTGATTGGTATGTTAGTATAAAGACTGGTTATATCATCAAAACTAACCATTGTTTCATCATTCTCTAGTTGTTGAATGTCATTTAGTTTATTTTTCATCTCATATGAATTAGTTAGTTAGTCTAGAATTTGAACGATTTCTAATGGGGCATAATATTAGAGCTAAATGTTTTGATGATAATTCATATGTAGGGGTGACAGAATTTTTGCAGTGAGAGTGTAGCCAGTTGCTTGCCTTATTATTATTATTTATCTCCTCACCCAGACCCAATCGGATTGAAGCATTCTGATATGTTCACAGGGCGGGAGAGAGAGTGTGTGTGAGATATATGCGGATCACTTGCGTGGATAAGCGCACATATACACACGTCAGACAAACAAACAAACAACCTAACTAACTAACTAACGAACGAACTAACTAACTAACTAACATTCTCCGACATCCATTAAAAATACCGGGACAATACCGGTGTTTTCCAGGCCTACCTTCCCTCCCCCCCTTTATATCATATATGTAAATATTTATTCTAGGGGAAGAGAATATATATATAGATGCACATATTATTTAATAATATTCTATAGGGTTAACTAGCTAGCTGGCTAGCTAATAATAATTATAACCAGTAATATGTTAGACAGACTAGAAAGAGAGATTTACTGAAGAAAAAGTAGAGAATAATATCATCTCTGAAGAGGCGATGATAACTAACAGCTTATAGAATAATAATGTGGGCGTCAACCGAATACTTGTAGAATAGATAGTGTAGATAGGTGGTTATGAAGGTTATGCTTATATACACACGCACACGCACACACCCGCACACTGTCGACAGAGTGCACAGCAGACAAATTGTGATAGTTCTTTTCTGTTCTTTTCTTTTCTTTCTTTTATCTCAAGAGAGAGAGAGAGAGAGTGTGAGAGACGAAAGCAATTTGCTAATCACAAAAAAGCGAAAACAGAACTTTGCTATACACTTTAACATTTCATTGGATATGCGCGTGTTCACACCACCACCAACAACAACACCAACAACAATAGCAGCAGCAACAATAATAATAACAATATTAATTTAAAATAATAATAAGCGAATAGATACAAATTATTAACATTGGACAATAAATAGATTGTCACTGTCTCTAATAAATATATATATATACATATATATATATATATATATATATATATATATATACATTTATAATACATATTTTCTTATCATACACCTTAGTGGTGCGTGTTCCTTTATCGTAGAACACAGAGAGAATTTACAGAAAATCCTAATACATATTGTAATATAGTGAATTGTACTTTTTTTAAAAAAGAAGCACCCCGGGGGAAAAGGATTGAACCATCATTATTCACATTCTAAATAAAATGTTAAATACACTGGAAAAGAATGGAATACACAGTTATGCTTATAAGAATACTGATTTATTTTCAACAAGTAATGATTTCACAAGACTGTTCAGTTTACTCCTGCTCCAACAACAACAACAGCAACAGCAACAAGAGCAGCAGCAGCACTTAAAACTCACTGATGAAGAAATCCACCAAAAACCTGCTGATCAGACAACAACAACAACAAAAACAGTTCCCATGGAGAATTCCTTGATTTATAACTTCTTGTGCAGAACGTCAACGACGCACACTGACGAAGTGTATCATCAGAAGGAGAGCCTGCTACAAGAGAAAACGAAACAACTGAAATTTGGGATTGATACAATACTTGGTTGTGTTGACAGAAGTCAAAATCAACCCGCGAAGAGTTTAGCTGAGATAGCGAATCACTTGAAGAAGAAGAGGCTACTTGAAATGCGAACTGAGCAGTTGTCGGTGAAAACTATTAGTAATACAGTGACAGTCAATGAAACGTCTATTTCTACGAATATATCTCCTAATGAAAATCAATTTCTGGTGAATAGTGGTATTAATAATGATAATAATACATCGACAAATATGATGTTGCCTACACCTGAGATTATTAAACAAATGTCGGTTAGTCTGTTGAGCCGCCAACAGTCGTCGACAACAACATCCTTCTCATCAGCCTATCCCAATCTACAAGACCACCAACAGTATTCACCAGCCTTGTGTATACAGCCTCCACCCCCACTGCCACTGCCACTGCCATATCTTTCACATGGTCCATTCCCTTTCATCGCTAAAGTAACAACTGCATCAGAGTCGTCAAGTTCATCATCATCAGTATCATCAACAACATCATCGTCGTCATATTTATCACCAACACTGTCTAAAGAACAAGTCAGTTTATTAAATGAATCCCCAATAAAAAAATCATGGACAAATAATTCACAGCTTTTCAGTGATTTAAAACAACCGCCAGAATCACAAACACCTGATTTAAACAAATTAGATCTTGGCTATTTATCGAATGATGCAGGTGTAAATGTAATTAAAGTAAGTCGATTTGCGCGTAATATTCATTCTGTTTCTTTTTCTTTTTATTCTTCTTTTAAATTTACCGTTAAAATAATAATAATATTAATAAAATTACATATTGTCGTGTTCCAAGAGAAACCATCTCTATTATCGTCATCCGGCGGCCATAGTAAAAGAATTTTGAAATTAGAGCGGCTAGATGTTTAGAGGAAGCAAGATACAGAAATATAATGCCATCAATCATTTGTGAAATATGATTTTATAAATTCTTTATTATTATTATCATTATTATTATTATTGTTTCCTTCAATTCCTAGAGGAATATAGGGCTTCAGCCGTGCGTTTCCATTATGTTCGGTTCTCTGCTAGAGTCTTCACCTGGCTCCAAGTCTGCCCACACGTTCTCATCTCCCCTTCACATAACCTACCTATTTGTTTCAAAATCGGTTCCTGTTGTGTTGGTTCGCTCATTGCCAGAGATCTCACCCTGTTGCTGATCTTTTCTCAATGACCGGCCGGCCATCTGATCTTGAGTGGTATTGAGCGAAGATAACTGTTAATGAAGGTCTGTAGTTTGTTCGAAGTGTCCTTCGTGATGCAGCGTGGAGCCAATTCTCTGATCCCTATAGCAAGTAGCACTGACTGACTTCACATTCGAGTTGAAAATCCGGATCTCATTTTCATTTTCCTGCTGAGTGCTGTTCATCTCCTCCACACAGACTTGAGAGTAGTGAAAGCTTGTCTTGCTTTTCCGATTCTTGATTTGATATACTCGTCAGTAGTGTCCGCCTGTAGTTGAAACGATGCTTCCCAGGTGGATGGGTAGGTAAAAGAGGTTGTTTCTTTCAAGTTCCTCCCATTTATGCCGGCTCATTGTTGTCTGTTGTTGGTGTTGGCCAGGAATCTTCATCACCTCTGTTTCCTCTATGTTCACCTGAAATCCTATCTTCTCTGCACGCTTCCTCTGCCAACTTGTTGCTTTTCATCACTTGCATATCTCCCAGTTTGTGGGAAATCAGACATATATCATCGGCGAAGCCTAGATCCTGCAAGTTTTTTGTGTGAGTCCATTTTATGCCTGTTTCCTCATTGCCCGACCAGCTGTCTGTCGCATTATCCAATCTACTGCAATCAGGAAAATGATTGGCGATAGTAGGCAGCCAGCCTTGCCTTACTTCTTAATATTTGCATTCTATTTACTGATCTCCGTTGCTTGTCATTTGAAGTTGAAACTTTTACAAACTCCAGTCGTAATCCAATCTTTATCCATGGTTAATATGACAGAGGTTACTAATTTACCATAGTGTACACTGTTTCCACAAATACTATGTCAGTGTATTTAGCATTCAGATTTTAGAAGAAGACACTAATGAGCGCTACTCAGTCCTTTTTATCTCCGTCTGAATATACTGCACTAATTACATATCATGGTATCCTGTGGCTGTTATCATCATATATATTTTATTTCCTGATGTTCCGGGTGGAACACACAGCTTCAAACCTGAGCTCAAAAGTTTCAGTGTAGTGGTGCTGGGGTGCTGCCACTAGCCCAACCTCCCGTCTCCCCCCCACCAGTTACCAGACTTACTACCGGTTGAGCGAGATTGAGGAGTGTGTGTGTGTGTGCTGAACTGAGAATTGGACCCGGGTCAAGTGTATGTTTGGTGAGCATACAACCGCTGGACCACAGACACATCCTTATTATAAAGAAGAAGCAGTAATACTTGGCTGGGATGCTGTAGTGACACAGCTGTGTTTGACCTCGAAGACACAGTTGTATCACAAGCTGTAGAACTGAAGTTACTTCCTCCTGATGACCAGATTTACTATTATTATTATTACATTTACACTGCACTAGGTACTGTGTGATCACTTTCCACAATTACTCACAAGCTTTCATTTTGTCTTCCCATTATCTTCTCTATGTTGTTATCCTTGAGTGAGCAAACCATCGCTTCCCATTCAGGTCCCATTAGACGGCCTGACGTGGGACGTCATTCGGCAGTCTCCCCAGTGTGTGCGTGTGTGTGCAGTTCATCTCCATTATCTCCTGCGTATAGAAATCCATAAATTGCATACACTTTTTGCACTCCTTCTTGAGTAAAGAACCTTCAAATGTCAGATGATGAGACCTGCCTTCAGTGGAGATTGGGGAATAGTGATCACTTTCGGCTTGAAATAAGATAAAATCAAAATTTACCCGGTTCAAATGATGACCACTGGGGACTCAGTTTCATGTATCGGGTTTAACGGCTGATAGAATTTTTTAAAAGATTTACTGCTATTCCGATAATGATTATTCTTGCTGGATAGAAAATCTATGCAAAATTTATTCACGTGAAAGTTAGGCAACACAGCAAGTACCGATTATTTGAGTTATTTAGATGCCAAAAAAAAGAGAGGTAGTCAAACACACCCTATTCAAAAACTTCATGCAATTCTCATCCCATTAATAAACTTGAACAAAGCAAGAACAACAATTGTACCATAGGATAATATGAGCTCATCTTTTATTATTATTATTTCGGGGATTCTTCTCAACTGGTTACAACCTGAACGATGAAAAATATGTGAATTACATTACATTAAAGATTTGAACATAATTTTCCACGATCACAAGGAGTAATTGGTTAGTGGGAAGTGTAAAAGTAACATTAGTCCGGAATGATTTAACTAATTAAGAGTTACAGACACACTGACTATTTATAGAATAATTCAAATGAACTGTGATCAATATTTGACAGTTTATAAATATTTATAGAATAATTAGGCAATTAGGCTGTTGGATATTTTTTGTTGTTGTCACCAAGGCAGTGCAAGATTCACCACTGTCTCTTTCTGCGTACACATAGATTTGGTTTAAGTCGTATGATAGCAATTGCTTCAGCAAAGCGTAGCAAGTTAGGTTTCTTTTGCTTGTTGATTATTTTGAACGACTTCAAGGTGTCTACATTATGACCAGTGTGTCCAATAGATGACGCGCAACTGCACTTTTTAATACTTGTGGATCTTTCAGTCTCAGGTTCTTTGGTATGTGTTCAGAAATGAGGACAATAACCCTTCTCTCTGTTCTTCCGATGTAGGTGCTTTGGCATGTACTTTTAGGCGTTTAGACAAAGCATTTAGCATGGAAGCCGTTGAAATTACAGCAGTTTGAAACTGTTGTAAATTAGTGTGTGTGTGTGTGTGTGTGGAGGGGAGTAGGATATATTCTTTTTCCTGGCTTGACCTCATGAGAAGTCGAACTTTTCAGCCTCTAGGTAAAATAATCCCAGGGACTATTATGTTCTCAAAAAACTTCTATGGGCTAGCAAACCAAGTACTACAATCGATGAACATTTTAGGGAAGCAACTATTCTGGGTGTTTTTTTATTTTTATTTCAATAGTTGTGACATATAATCAGAACTGTAGAAATCACTTTCCAGGTTACTTAGTGATAAGCATGAAATTCTCACTATTATTATTATTGTTTCCTTTAATTCATAGAGGAACATCGGGCTTCAGCCGCTCAAGTCTCCATTGCATTCAGTTCTCTACTAGAGTCTTCACCTGGCTCCATGTCTGCCCCCACGTTTTCATCATCTCCTCTTCACATGACCTCCTCCAAGTCACCCACCCTCGCACTGACGACCAACTCGCCACTTCCAATTCAGTCGGATTCCACTCGAGTAATGGCTTGTCTAGTGATATCACTCACTTGATGGTTTCTTCAGAGTATGGCCACAATCCAATCCATCTCCATTTCTTCCTGCCTATTTGTTTCACAATCGGTTCCTGCTGTGTTGGTTGGTTCGCTCATTGCCAGAGATCCCACTCTGTTACTGATATTTTCTGACCGGCCGGCCATCTGATCTTGAGTGGTATTGAGCGAAGAAAACTAGCTGTTAATGAAGGTCTGTAGTTTGTTTGAGATGCTCTTTATGACGGGCGGTGCAAGTCTCTGATCTCTATAGCAAGTAGCACTGACTGACTTCACATTGGAGTTGAAAATCCGGATCTCATTTTCATTGTCATGCTGAGCGCTGAGTGCTGTTCATCTCCTCCACACAGACTTGATAGAAGTGAGAGCTTGTCTTGCTTTCCCATCCTCGCTGCTTTGATATCCTCATCAGTTCCGTCCTCCTACAGTTGAATCGATGCTTACCAGGTAGCCAGGTGAAGGAGGTTGTTTCTTGGTGATGACATTTTCCACATTGTGGGTATATAACACGAAGCAAACACATCTGCAAATCGGTGAGACACACACATTGATATAACCAAAATGTCTGTCATAACCACATTTTTCTTAGTCAAAAATCAGTTGAAAAACTGTGCAGTGGTTAAGCATTTTAAACCCTCATTAGATATTAGACCCTTTAATCCTAGAAATGACAGTTTAGTGTAGGTTAGGGAAACCTTTCTAAGTTGTGAATTTGTGTGTCAACTATTCCATGATAAAAATGCTCTCCAGCTATCCACATGATCCGGGTTCAATCATCTTTGCCGACGCATTGCTAACACTCATCCAGTTCAGCAGCCAATAGCCAATAGCAAGCTCGGAGGAGAAGGAAGGTTGTGTGCAAGATTGGCACTCGACCACCACTGAAAATTTGGAAAGTTTGAAGTCCTGAGTACCACTTAGACCGTAAACGAATAAATAAATAAAAAACTCCGTTTCATAATATTTGTAGTAGGCATATCCCATGCAGGTGTGTACATCGAACTAGTATTATAGTATTATGTTCAAATCGGTACTTAAATGCGGAAAACATCAAAACAAGTCACCTGCTTATAGAGAGAGAGACTACTTTCTCACTAGAATATAAAATACTATGGAGGCTAGAAAGAATGCATGCACATGGAGGATTTCTCCGGTCAGTGATTCCTCTTTTTTTGGTATGAAGCCTGTCAAAGTAAATCTTTTCAACTAAAAGGATGAAATCCTGCAGGCAGTGATTTTTAGAAAGTAATTTCAAAAGAATAGACACGGAACAAAGAGTACTCTTTTCGATAAATTCATCATAATGGGTCTACAATT